AAAAAAAAAAGGCAAAGAGACAATTTTTTTGTCAAGTAAAAATGATTTATAAGCTTGATTATTTATTTTATAACGAAAGAAACAAAAATGTTTAGTATACATTAAAGAGGAATAATATATATTTGTAAAATCTCAGCGAAAGAATTTGAAGTAATTTCAACGCTTCGCCTGGCAATCTGGTCCAAGCTTTTTCAAGGATATATTATTCCTCTTTAATGACTCACATTAACTCGGCGCCCAAATATTGTGATTAGTATACAGTTTGTTTTAATCAAGGGTACCTGATTTTTGAAAAAAAAGAAATCTATTTCGTTTTTTTTTCCCCAGAAAAGGAACAGTGTGTGAATTGAATTTTATTTGACATGAAATAAGGTGACATGAAATCTTATTATTACTCTGATTAGACTAATTTAATGTAAAACTTCCTTATGAAGTTCTTATTCTTCATTTTCATGGGTTACATTGATTTTTATTCAAATAGAAAAAAAATTTCTGATGATTAATTAATCACTAACTGATTAGTATTGATTTGATTATGAGTTTTATTGATTCTTGTATTGGTTGTTTGAATTTCTCCATTGATGTTTAACATTCCAATTGGTCAGTCTCTTAGTGATATATTTACATCCTGTATGGATTGCGTCGGTATGACCTAAAGTTACAAGCATTATAATCAGAGATGAGTGAGGGTACATTCAACTGATACGTCCCAGATAGGACGAAACGAGCGTATTGGATCCCATAACTAGCTTTCATCCATCTCTGTTTGAAATGTTTTATTGTTTAATTGAAAGGGTTTGATAAAGGTCAGTTTAGTTTTTAGGTGGTATTCATTATATATTGATTTCAGTTGGTATATCATTGAAAACTAAACATTGGATAGATGTTTCATTTGAATATGGGACTCCGGTGGTTTGCATTTATTACCCCACGTAGAATATAATCCAGAACATCGAGGCCTCACATTGAGCTCGATATCTTCAAATCATTGAGTTATTATCTACTGACTTACATTTATGATCTTTCATTTATATTTACAGGAATCTTCAAAATCGAACTATGTCAGCTTATATAAACGAAAATCCCATTTTATCTGTATTTATTTCTAAGGGTGAAAAAATGATTTCTTCTGAAAATGAAAATAAAGATAATAACTTATTCGATGTGAAGTTACCCGCGAATATATTATGGAAAACTCAAGAGCATTTACCAGTTACCCAACCTACCGTCACAGAATACTCTTCAAATCATATAGATAATGTGACTGCTATCACAGATATGACAAATTCACACTTCCTACCAAGATCTGATAGTATTCATCAAACTAATTTACCTGTACACAACGGTTTCAATCCAATTTACCACTCGAATGAATCACAAATACATACATCCAAAGACTTTAGAGAGTTATCATCAAATGATGGACATTTTCAATCAATTATACCTTCTAGGTCTGTATCAACAACTTCATATTCAACAATGGCCACATCTTCAAATGAACAAGAAGCAAACAAAAAAAACTTTCCTGAGAATTATAATCTACTATCAAGTACATATTATCAACAATTTTTATTAAAACATTACAACAGAAATGTAACTGATGAAGTCACTAATTTAATGGATGAAAACTATCGTAACTCATTGATTATGTCATCCTATGTTAATCGTTTACAAAATTCAGAAAATTTAGTTTGTACAAGTAATATCAATAATCCTTTTACTAGTACTAATACTATTACAACAACAACCGCTTCTACTTCTGCTACTAACGTCACCGATATACATGCTACTAATTTCAATACAAGTAGTATAAGTCCATCGAGTTATAATCAGTCAATTCATGAAAATTATGAATTTAATAGCAATCCTACAAACTTGCAACATCATCATCATCGTCATCATTATGTTAACCCTGATGATAATAATTTTTCTGGAAATTTAAACAAGCATTATAATCCAGGAATGCATGAAAATTATTTACCTTGGACAGAATATTGTAACAATAGTGACTATAACATTGATTATTTGAATAATGATCATAAGAGTAGTGATTACATTACAGAAACTGATTCATTGAAAAATGAACAGAATTTTCATGTAAAACAATATCAGAGTCAACAATACAATTGGTTGAATGATATACACACTTGGGTAAATAATAGATTTTCACATGATAATGTTAATAATGCATTAAAGCCAACAATTATCAATAATGATAAAATCCCGCCTACAATTAATTCCACCTTCAGTTCACTTCAAAATCATCCTTGTTCAGTCGATCAATCTGTATTTGATACCGACAGTAATAATAATAATGTGAGTAGTCAAAATCAATCATTAAATATTCAAATGAACAATCCATATTGTTTTATTACAAGAGCTGAAGATAAAAATATCGATCAAAACTCAATCGAATCATATTTATATTCAAATTTTGAAACAGACTGTAGACGAACATTTCATTCACCCCTATCTATTGGAGAAAGATCTTTAAATTTCAGTGAAAATAATTCGAATTTTTGGTCAAATAATATGTGTAATTTATTAAACACAACTGATCGCTATAAATCAATCTTAATGGCCGCTGCTAATGTGCAATATCCAACATATAATCATCATCTTAATGACAATAATAATAACTTATCAGGACAATCTGAATATGCAACACTCTATGAAACATTTCTTTCTGCTAACAATAATGGCCCCATAGATATGAATATCGAAGCGAAATGTTCAATGTTCACTAATAATCAAATAGATAATGAAAGTAAAGTAAATGCATCGATAAATATACCTAAAAATTTATTTTCTCAATCACCATCTCCTTCATCACCGTTATCTGGTGAGACAAAAGTATCGTTGAATGTTGAACATCCACTCATTCCTCCAAGGTCGTCAGCATTATTAACATTAAATAGTAATAACAATAGTAATAATAATAATTCCAATACAATTAAACGATATATTGGTCGACCAACATGCGACTGTCCTAACTGTCAGGAATTAGATAATTTAAATTTAACGAATCCAAATATAGCAAGTGAATTAAGGCGAAAAAATCTACATAATTGTCATGTACCTGGTTGCGGTAAAGTCTACAATAAAACAAGTCATTTAAAAGCACATTTAAGATGGCATACAGGTGAACGTCCATTTGTATGTAATTGGTTATTATGTGGCAAACGATTTACACGTTCTGATGAACTGCAACGTCATTTACGTACACATACTGGTGAAAAACGTTTCCTTTGTCCTATTTGTCATAAACGTTTTCTTCGAAGTGATCATTTAAATAAACATATACGTACACATTCCGATTCGACAACAACAACCGTAAGCGAGAATAATGAACACAATCTAATTAAGTCAATTGATAAACAGTATTTAACTATTAATACAACAAACACTACCTCCACAACTACTAGTAATACCAATACTACCAACACTTTTATCAGTAGTAATATCAATGATGATAATATTAATACTGATAGTTGTACACCTTTAAGCACTTCATGTACTCACAATATCGAAGAAAATTTTAATGAATATACTATGTGATGACAACTTCACTGATGGTGAAATCAGTGTTTTTTTTTACCATCTTTGATCATAGTCATTTTTGTTACACACTTTTATTACTTCCTTAAAATATACAGACAATGACACATGGAAGTAAATGTATAGAATAAACTGTGCACCAAACCGAATACATCTAGTAATGTTATTTAATTGGTCCCTCATCCCATTCCAATCTTAACTAATTAATTGCATTTTTAACTTATTCTTCAGTTTAATGAAGAAGAAAAAAAAACAATCTATTTTTACTTTTCATATGACTTCCGTGTGTTTTAAGAAAAATTAGAATCTATTATTGTTTGAATTAATAAAAATGATTAATTTTTCTTTCTTTCATTTAAATACTTTTATTGTTTCGCTATTGTTTATCTATGTATAGACATGAGTGAATCAAGTTTTTGTTTTGTCTTTTGGTTTACAAATAAACAAATTTTGAATACGTTTTTGATAACCAAAGTGGTAACTTCTTCCACATAGAAGTGGGTCGAAGATAGTTCAACCGATTTCTTTATATAATCATTAGTAGAATAAATTTAGAATATATCTAATTTGACGAAATCAGGATTAGGATATTTGTAAAGATTTTTCAATTTTTTCGAATATCTTTCATTTCATCAATTGATTTCAGTTAGATAATTAGTGAAAATCATCTGAGCTTTGGTAAGCTATTTTGTGCTAATTTGAAACTTTTTAACCGTTATTATTCCAAGTTACCACACCATATTAGAATAGTGGGATTAATTTATTAAGACAAATACCAGATTAGAAGAAATAGTAACAGTATCGAAATTCTGATTCGTAGAATTAAAAGGTACAGAATGATTTCAAAATCCAAGATCTAGTGGAAGGTAATGAGTGATTACATCTCTGTTATTGTGGTCATCAAATATCTCGGGATACTAATCAAAGTAATTGTGCAGACTCTAACTTGATAATCTATGCATATCAAGATGACCGAGATCAACATTTATTGACTTCATGAAATGATGTCACCTCTTAGTTTATTTGCTGTTATCTTTTCTATAACCAACTGTAACCAACATCTAGCGTACGTATCCTTGAATTCGAATGGAGTTGTAAAATAGCGTAACAAACTTCAGTAACATATGAATAAAAATTGAATAAATTGTATTTTCAATTTCAGTTTAGTTATAAGATGTTACGGAATTTTGACATGTGAAACAAACGAAGTCATATATGATACAATAAATTACTGATAATAAGCTATGAGGATCCTAACAATGGGAAACTACAAACCCATACAAAACATTCATTATTTTTATATTTCATCATTGTCAACCTATTTAAACAATTACAGAAATGATAGCTTTCTTCAAAATAAATAAAGTTCAATAATAATAATAGTAATAATACTGATACTAATACTACTACTACTACTACTACTAATAATAATAATAATAACAATGATGATGATGATGATGATGATGATGATGATGATGATGATGATGATGATGATGATGATGATGATGATGATGATGATGATGATGATGATGATGATGATGATGATGATGATGATGATGATGATGATGATGATGATGATGATGATGATGATGATGATGATGATGATGATGATGATGATGATGATGATGATGATGATGATGATGATGATGATGATGATGATGATGATGATGATGATGATGATGATGATGATGATGATGATGATGATGATGATGATGATGATGATGATGATGATGATGATGATGATGATGATGATGATGATGATGATGATGATGATGATGATGATGATGATGATGATGATGATGATGATGATGATGATGATGATGATGATGATGATGATGATGATGATGATGATGATGATGATGATGATGATGATGATGATGATGATGAAATAAATCAATATTATTTGATAATGTTATATGTAAAAAATATCAAATAGTGGATTATTCCCATTTTAAAAACCATCTCACGTGGATAAATTTAGGGGAAATCCAATGACCAAATATAGACTTGCCTAATGCAGTTTGAACTGAACTTTTTATATGAAAGACTGCATTGTTGTTACCCATCTGCTCAAACCAAAAATGTGTCGATGTCTGTAGCTAAAATTCAACTTTTAACAGCAAGTGTTTTACCCAATAGACCATCACTACCATTAATCTAACTGATATTAAATTTTTTTAACTAGATGACCCATGAAGATCTCATTATTACTTTACTTACGCTTGTTACTCGTCATGAAGGAGCATAGGCCGCTCACCAGCATTCGCCATCCAACCCTGTCCTGGGCAATCCTTTCCAGCTCTTTCCAGTTGTTATTCATCCTTTCCATATCTACTTTTACTTCCCGACGTAATGTGTTCTTTGGCCTTCCTCTTTTTTGTTTCCCTTCAGGATTCCAAGTAAGCAATTACCTCGTGACGCAGTTTGTTGATTCCCGTAATGTGTGTCCTATCCATTTCCAACGTCTTTTTATAATTTCCTTTTCGGCTGGAAGCTGACTCATTCCCATAGTAGGCTGTTGCTGATTGTATCCGGCCAACGGACATTCAGTATCTTACGTAGACAATTGTTTGTAAATACTTTTACCTTTTTGATGATGGTTGTGGTAGTTCCCCAAGTTTCGGATCCGCGCAGTAGTACTGTCTTCGAGTGCATATTGAAGATTCTGAAAATAATTGGACATCAGATGAATGAATAAGACTTGAGAATGGCTTGAAATTATTGTTCAAGACAGAGTTGGTTGGAGAATTCTGTTGGGAGGCCTACGCCCCTCCATGAGGGTCAACAGGCGTACCTACGTGAGCGAGTTAGCCCCGGTTCGCCACATTGTCCGGACATTCCATGTTCCCATGTTCACTGTTCTCCTAATTGTTAGAAAAGATATCAGCCTCGCTATATCTGAAGAGTTTCAGCTTTCATCATGAAACATCAAAATTCTCCTAAACGAAGATTTTTATATTCCCAGCAAAGATTTTAAATGGTTTGGATGGTTTTTTTTCTTGGCGAATGTCTTGTAATTTATTTCTTTACTATGGGATGGATGTTGCTAACCCCATGTTCAACCTTCCTTCTTTACCTGGACTTGGGACCGGTATTGACCCTAGAAGGGTTCCAAGAGGAGTAACGCTGCTGTATTCGATAATTAACTAGTGCATTCAGTGTTTTATTCATTTCTCTTTCTATTAACATACAAAAAAGTGAAGATAATAAACACTTTATGTTTGTTAGTAAATGTATATGTGTGATGAATATTTTAATTGCGTCAAATTGTTCATCTTAATAATTCAACTTTTAACATTTATTCAAAATAATTACCTCATAAAATTATAGGTTATAAATAAGGGAGCAGATGAGAAAAGCAACGTTTCATATATTATCACTCATTCCGTTGCTCTCTGTCTTTCTCTGTTTCTATATGTATGTAAACTTTTGGTCACGTGTGACATGAATAGAAATTGCGCATTTCCTTGAATTTATGTGTGCACTGATTAGTTTAACACATGATTAGATAAATAATTTTAAATTAAACAATAATGAATCTCTGAGTTTTGCTCAGTTTTATTTCATTTCGTACCCTCAAAAGGGAATTAGTTATATTCGTTTCTCAATACCAACTATTCATAACCTATATCTCTTTGTGTGTATTTCAAAACACTGTATATATAAGCATTTAAACTACATTCATCTTTCATCAAATACTGTGTTTAGGACTTAAACCACTTCATGTAAATTACAAATTTTAAAATCTAAGATAGCTTCTGTTATCTGGTCATTAGCATTATACTGCCTAAGTCAAGTAGAAACACGGTCATCAGACCTTAAAGACTTGTATTATAGTGCAATTTATTTGATAACGAATAAAATTAATTAAAAAATATTCCAGAAGTTAGATGGTATTCACTAGCATGGTGTATTTACATATTTAAGGAAATTAATGTTGTCTGTAAAGTTCGAACTTGCATCGATCAGTTTTCTACAATCGAAAATGTCATCAGTGAGCTGGCAACAAAATCTGTCCTAAGGTCCCCTCGCAGCTCTTCTGGTAGTAGGGGCAGCCTTGCTAGTTAACTTGGGCGATCGGCAGAGATCGGACTAATCCATCACTTCTATCCTAAACTTGGATTGCCCGAAGTTCACTCTTCGAGGCTTCAAAAATCGTAACAGGATGCCCTTTGTGCCTCCTCATGTATTTGAATAGCACAAGTCTCGGCCTATGTCATTGTCTATGTAGGATATGTACAGGGTACATACCGGGCTCGCAAAGGAAAATAGACTGAAAAATGCCTGCCTTATGTCTTATAAGATCGGCGACTTAAACTATCGAGTCGAAGACACAATAAAAAGATACGACAGCAAATACTAGAGAGAGGTGACCATCAACCTCCCCTCTGAGAGTGTGCCTATGCTTACGTTCATTTCATGAAGTACATGGACGAAAGTCTTTGCATTAGTGGTATGCAAATAATAAATAAGAGACAGTCAGTTTTAGCAAATACACTCAAATAAATCTGTGAATATTTATCTTCCTAGGTGGGTGAATATACCTGTATGTATTTTATGGGATGAATTACTGAAAACTTGTATGTCACTGTGTGCATGTAGACCATACTTGCCACAGGAAAGACGCCCGCACTCCAACATCCGGGTTTCTAATGGTTTTCCCACGAAATTACGTCCACGCGGTAAGTTCATGAGTTCCAAAAAGCGGATCCTAACCCAGATAAATCTATGGGCTTTACCGAGTGAGGCTTCATCGATCTCAAATGTTTGGAATAGCGCATCAGTGAGCTGATTTCATTTGACGTTTATGGAAAGTATTACTTCTGGGAATATTGTAGACAAAACTTGCTTCTTAGTGATAACAAATACGAAAACAAAATTCAGAGGTGTATTTCGACTACTTATAATTAAAATTTACACAAATCAATTAATATTACACCTTATTTGTAAATATTTTAACACTTGATATAAACTCTCAATTAAATTTATCATCTTGATGAATGCACCATTGACGTAAATAGTTAATCTTGAGATCAGTTGTAATAACTCAGCCATACTCAATCAACCCGTTATTTAGAAAAAATGTGAACGACCTAAAATACAAATAAATTATTATGTTGTATTTGTCACAGATTGATTTCAGTTAGAGTGTATTTGAGACTAGAAGGTACTCCTAAGCCGTTTCGTCCCAGTGGAAGACTCTTTAGTTCTGTACATTTATAATATCACCATCTATTAGTGTTCAAATTCACGGTGGGACTCGAACCCAGTACCCACCACTTTAAAGAACAATGTGTCATCTTACAAATTACTGGATTCGGATAACCATCAACTTTGTCAACGAGTATGAATTCGCATATGAGGGGTTGAATTTTCTCGTAGTTGATATCAAGGATTGGAGATGAATATCAACAATAGTATCTAGGTGCATTCAACAGACGAGTTATTCTAAAATTTGTTACCAAAGGCTATATATCAATACGGTCCACTCAGGATGTATAAGTGACATCAGAGATCGATTATATTTAATCTTCAACAGGAAATTAAAAACTCTTTAGTATAGAATAACGTAAATCTAATGTCCAGTAACTTTCCATATTTATAATGTCTACTATCGCAATTCAAATAAAAAGAATATAGCTAATTTAATAAGACAATGGAACAATCAATGAAACTGAACTTAACCTAGTCAAACATCTTGTTACTTTGTATGTGTGTTACATATTTCTCTTTTTTTTTTGCTTTTCAATTAAACCTCTACTCTTCGCCTCAATGAAGCACAATATAGAAACATATAATTATATGTTTTACAAGAAAATTTCATTTAAAATTCTACTCGAACTTAAAGAAAAAAGGAATTCAATTGAGTTATTAAATGGGTGGTTAAATATATTTGTTTCTTACTAAATGAAACGATACATCTTTACAATTTATTGTTGGGCATTATTCTGTGTCTTTTTATTCATAAAATGACATGTACGTGCGCATATACATCTATATACAGAAGCTTGATCATTAAAATGAGTGTTCACATACATACACATAAATGTCAACGTATGGATCTATACTTCAGTTTTAATTTTAAACATCTGTATTTATTTATCCCTCTCATCTCTCTATATGTGTGTTTGTATTTGAGTAAAATAGGAAGAACATAAAGAAATAATTGAACTCGAATGTATAAAACAATTCCGTGATCGTCGACATTCTGATAAAGGAATACACAAAGAATATATATCAAAGAGAATACTGATATTGAGGTATATTTATTTAGTGATAAAATATACTCAATTTATTTAGTTAGTACATGTCATAAAATATTTGTAAGCTCATATGGAACATCTTTAATATTAATCTATAAACATATAGATATACACATAACAACACATATATGTACACATTCATGAAAGAGTTTAGTTCAGTAAATCCATTAACTCTTTAAGAAATAAAACTTTTTAATGTGTGTGTGTGTTTTAACATATTTTTCAAAAAAAAATTTCTGCGCCCTTTATAAACAAAAAGGAAAAAAAGGAATTAAAGTTAATCATAAATAAAATACTTCAACAGGTGTAACTATGATATATATATACATAGGCATAAAAATACCTTTGCAAATTTAAATCGTGCAGCCTTATTTGTGCGCGTGTCTACATGTATATGTCTATATGTGCATGTCTATATGTCTACTATATATATATATATATATATATATATATATATATATATATGTTTATGTATAGAAATGTACTCAATATCCATGAACAACATAGGGAATTAAAGTCTCCGTCATAATAATAATAATTTTTTTTTCAGAAGGGGTTTTGTTGTTTTAGTGTTTCAAATGTAAATGAAAAATTCAAAGTAATGACCATTACAATATGTTGTTTAATAA